GGCATCGTCAAAGGTCCTCTGCAGATCCGGGCAGTGGCAAACCGAACCAGTCTCGTCAACGTCGGCAATTGCAGGCCCCAATTCGGGGCACGGAGCAAAAAAACTGTCCGAGACGAAGGCTGGCGACCCAGCACTCCTAAGAAAACAAAAACATCGGAGGTCTGGGCGCCTCCGACGTCGCACTTGTTCCGCGGCGTGGGCCCTGAGGATAGTGGCCCCGCTTCCCGGCAACAAGCTGCTCATCCCGTGCCGTTGTGGTGACGGTCCCGAGGCCAGGAAGCGACATCCCAAGCCCGAACACGTTGAACAACTACCGTCGTAGCGTTGTTGGGGTGAAGGCCGCATCTGAGGGGCCTGCCTTCTCATCCTCTTTTTCGACTGCTGAATAGTATTCGTTTTAGTCGTACTAGTATTGCTCACAATATCGTTCGTATTCGTATTACTGGTTTAGCACGGAGTCGTATAAGTAGTAGTAGTAGCCGCATCATGTTGATTAGAAGAAGTAGTATAATGCGATTGCTCTATCAGTTGCGTTCGTGGTACGACCCTGTCCCATGGTATTATGATCGGTATTGTCAGTAGTATGGCTATGCGTCTGATCAGTAGAAGTATTGTTCAACGCGTCCGCCTGTTTATCATCAGTATTACCAGTTTGCTTTGTAATATGATTCGCCGCCTTTTTTTATGAGTACGAGTAGTATTCACCGTGCTGGTCTTCTTCGGTTAGAATAGTGGTCGCATTAGTTTGCTGAGCCTTAGCCATCCCATAATATGACTAGTCGTAGTACTGTTATTAGTATTAGTACTACGTTTCAACGTATCGTTCGTATTCGTATTCGTCTTAGACGTCGCTGTCCTCTTCTGAGTAGTCTTCATCCTCCTCCTCCTCCTCCTCCTCCTCCTCCTCCTCCTCCTTTTCCTCCACCTCCTCCTCCTCCTCCTCCTCCTCCTCCTCGTCCTCCCCCTCCTCCCCCTCCACGTCCTCCTCCCCCTCCCCCCTCCTCCTCCTCCTCCTCCTCCTCCTCCCCCTCCTCCTCCTCCTAATCCTCCTCCTCCTCCTTCTCATCCTCCTCCTCATCCTCCTCCTCATCCTCATCCTCTTCCTCCTCCATCTCCTCTTCCTCCTCCTCCTCCTCCTCCTCCTCCTCCTCCTCCTCCTCCTCCGCCTCCTCCTCCTCCTCCTCCTCCTCCTCCTCCTCCTCCTCCTCCTCCTCCTCCTCCTCTCCTCCCTCCTCCTCTCCTCCTCCTCCTCCTCCTCCTCCTCCTCCTCCTCCTCCCTCCCCCTCCTCCTGCTCCTCCCCCTCCTCCTCCTCCCCCTCCCCTCCTCTCCACCTCCTCTCCTCCTCCCTCCCTCATCCTCATCCTCTTCCTCCTCCTCTCCTCTTCCTCCTCCTCCTCCTCCTCCTCCTCCTCCTCCTCCTCCCTCTCCTCCTCCTCCTTCCTCCTCCTCCTCCTCCTTCCTCCTCCTCCTCCTCCTCTCCTCCTCCTCCTCCTCCTCCTCCTCCTCCTCCTCCTCCTCCTCCTCCTCCTCCTCCTCCTCCTCCTCCCCCTCCTCTTCTCATTATTCTCCACCTCCCGCGCCCAACGGGCAAAGCGCCCCTCGCAACTGCGGGCAAAAAGAGGCGGTGGAGAACGCCCGTCGGGCCCGCTCCTCCTTCCGCACTCCGCGCTCCGCCCCCCGACCCATTGCAGACCTGCCAAGTGAAATCCGAGCAGATGGTGTCGTAGGATCGGCGGGGAGGAGATGGAGAGAGAGAGAGGAAAAGAGAGTAAGAGGGAATGGGAGAGGGATAGTTACAGGAACAAAAGCAACTGCGTGAAATCACGACCCGATGTCCCGAAACAAGATGTACACGGTTACACTGGATTTCTAGACAAGCATCGAGCCTGATACGGGGCCCCGCCGAAGCGCCAGCCGTCTCTTCACCACACCTGGGCGTGAATGTCCCCACGACTTCCGCCGTCGACACGTGCTCAACAAAGGCCCCAGAACTTCCGACCCCCTTCCCCGGGAACCCGCTTTTCACCACGCACCGCGTTCAGCCCCGCCCAGAGCCCAACGACGGCCCCCCGAGGCCGCAGCGAGTGAACGCGACCTCCGCCTTGGCTCTTCCGCGGCGCCTGGGCGCCGGGGCCCCTCGATCGGCGCCCCCCCAGACTCCTCCTCCTCCTCCGTCTCTGCCGTTTCCTCCTCCTCCGTCTCCTCCTCCTCCTCCTCCGTCTCCTCCTTTTCCTCCTCCTCCTCCTCCTCCTCCTCCTCCTCCTCCTCCTCCTCCTCCTCCTCCTCCGTATCCTCCTCCCTCCTCCTCCTCCTCCTCCTCCTCCTCCTCCTCCTCCTCCTCCCTCCTCCTCCTCCTCCTGATCGGCGCCCCCCCCCCAAAGACGGGCCCCCTGGGGCGCCTCACGTAGTCCTCCGGGGGGTCCGTGAAGAAGCGCCTGTCCATCTCCAGCTCCTGCTCCAGGCGGGCCCTCTCCTGCGGGAGGCGGGGGCGCCGAGAGGGCCGGCGGCCCGCCCGCCGCGGGGCGCGCCGCGCGGGAGGGCCCGGGGCGCTCGAGGGGAGCCAGAGGAAGCAGCTGGGCCGCCCTGCCACATTTGACTGAATTGCGAAGGGGTTGGAACGAGAGCGCCGGTCCTGCGTGCTTTTGGACGCCCGAGATGGGTACCGAAACAATGGGCACAATGCCCAACAACAAGTGTTGCCCCAGACCAACAGCGGCCGCTGTTGGGTGGGCGGCCTTCTGTATCAAGTGGGCACAGGCCGCGGCGGCGCGGACAGCGAGTCCTGTTCAAAATGACCTCGGCAGTGGACAAACCTCCCATTAGTACACCTCCCCTTAATGAAGACGGCCTGGGACCGAAACCGACGGACCTGGACCCGCAAACATGACGGCCGCGACGCCCTCTCGCGAACCGAAAACGGCCAATTCCTTAATCAACGTGTCAGGGCAGGAGGTTTATCAAACTCCAATGAACAGGAACTGCTGCTGAGCATTGTGCCCATTCTTTCCGTGCCCATTTCGCCCGTGCCGAGCGATGGGGCCTCTCCAGCCACGGAGTCTCGGAGTCCGCCGACCCCCGCTTTTGTCAGGGGTGCAGAGGCAGGCGAGATGATTGGCTGCCCCCCTGCCATTTTCCCCCTCCCCTGGGGTGTGAGATTCGGTAAATAAGGGGGGGGGGCCATGGGGGGGCCCTGGGCACCTCAACGCTCCCCAGGGACTCCCAGAGCCTGCGTTTCTACACTCCGGGGCTCTGGCTCCCAGAGTCTCTAGGATTTGAAATAAACTTGCTCGTATCATATCAGGCTCCAACACGCTCCGCAAGCCTCAAAAACAATCGAGATAGCCTCCACACGGCCCAATACGCCCGCAAGGCGCCACCAGACAGTTCCAAGAGGACCCCAGCCAACCTGCGTTGTCAGGTCCTCGTTTCGAATCAGCAGCGCCCCGCGTCCACGCCTCCTTCTCCTCTCCTCCTCCCTTGATCCTTTCCCTGCCTCTGCCTTCGCGTGACCTCGCCTTCATCGTCGTCATCATTGTCATCATCATCGCCATCGCCAGCGTCGTCATCATCACCATCATCATTTCTGCGCAGCGCAGGCAGAAGCAGAGAGAGGGAAAGAGGTCCGAGTCAGGCTGGATGCGCTGTCTAGCCGAGTTGAATTGGATTCGCTGTCTGGCCGAGGTAGCTTGGATGCATTGGCTGGCCGAATTTATTATGTTGGATCCTCGCTCTTGTGACAACTCTTTCCGGCCGCATGCGTGGCCGCGCCCATGCTGGCGCGCCCCGCGCACGGTTCGCGGCCTCGTAGGCACCTCCACCGAAGGCCTCGTTGGCCAGGTCCACATGCGTGACCACGAGAAATTCGGCACGCCCTCACACGTTAGATGGCCCAATGGGGAGTTCCACCGATGGCCCCCCCGATAAGGTCCGCATGCGTGACCACGCCCACCTCGGCGTACGCCTTACACGCTTCGTGACCCCATAGGGAATTCAACCAAAGGAGAGAGCGGCAGGGTCCGACTGCGGTACGTTGCCCATGTCGACACACCCCTCGCACGTTTCGTGGCCACTTGTTGCTCACCTGTTGCGTGGCCACATGTGCGTCGTACGTTGCCCCGTCACCTTTGGCCCACATGTGCCGTGGATGTGTGTTACTCAAGCGTTGCACGGCCAACTGTTGCTCAGCTGTTGCGCCGTATCTTGCTGATCACGCGTAGCTTGGTCACTGGTTGCCCGTGCGTTGCGGAGTCACCTCTTGGGAGCCCGTTGGGCTGTCTCCTGGGGTCTCTTGGGTGGCGCGGGGCCTTTTTGGGCCGACTTGGGGCCTTCTCGGGTGACTCCTCGGTCATCTTGGGACAAGCTCCGGGGGCCCCCTAGGCCATCTCGGGCTCGCGAAGCCAGAGCAAACAAGAGCGCGAGAATCGCTGCGGGAGGGCGGGCCCGGGATTACTACAGGACCCACCCCCGTACACGCCGACATGGTCGGTGGATTCCCGAGATCCCTAACGCGTGCATGACTAGGGAAGTTACGATCATAATGGTGATGCCCATCGTTCAGATGACGATTGGTGCGGTGACCAACATCATACCAATATAGATATACCACCGCAGGCACGTGCGCTATGATGATGCGGACGATGCGAACGATACGATTTACCGACTTACTGCGTGTCCATCAGGGCGGCATCGGAACGAGACCTGAAGACCCAACCCGACAATCCAAAAATCCGCTCTGCGGACCCAGGGGGTATGACGATTATAGCCCCAACTATCATCAATCAGCTTCTGCTAGCCTTTAGTCGGTTCTCACCAGGCGAGCACGCGCCGACGCCGCCCGCCCTCGGGGCGCCTCGCGGGGCACGCCAGAACGCTTCAGGAAACCGCGGGGCAGGAACGCGACCATGGCACTCGGACGCGCGGCCAGTCACAAGCTCAAAAAGTAAAACTGCCCCGGCGATGACGCGGCCGTGGACGAGGAGCGAGAGGCAGACGCGGAAGGAGAGAGGTGGGCGCCGACGGCACGAACTCCACGTGGCCGAACGTAGCGGCAGGCCGCAGAAGAAACTCGAAAGCCTGAAACGGCATTCCTAATCCCTTGCAAATCGTCCCCAGGGTCCGGTTTTTGAAGGCGACTTTTGTGGAACTGGGGGGGGGGGGCGGTCCATTAGGGCGCCTTCTTCGGATTGGGGCTAAGGCGTCCGGTTTTTTAGGAGGGGGTCGATTAATAAGGGGTTTGGACCAGAGGAAGACGCCAAGCAACTTTGCACCAAACCCATTGACGAACGCACGCCACCGCGGCGGGCCGGCGATTCTCGGCCGCCCGCCGCGCGCGACGGAGGGAGGGGAGACCTGCCCAGGAGAGCATTTGCCACACATTCCGCAGTTCAACCCGCGCGTCAAGCCCGGAAAAAAAAAACTCACATCGGATCTCTGACCCGCCCGCTCTCGGCGTGGAGAGCGGCATCGCGCGCCCTCAGCGCAGCGCCCCCGAGGTCCATCGACGCCGCCGGGCTGCGATCTGCAAGCCAAGCGCCCAGACGGCGCACAGTCTGCGGATTGTTGAATATCTGCGCCGTCCAGCGCCGACCATGCGACTGCTGGCGCTGACCTCCATCGACCATGACCTGCAGGAACAGGGTGCCGCTGCCACGGGGCGGGCGCCAGCTGCGGCCGCCTTCGGGTCGATCGTCGAGGCATGCCTTCTACTCGCTGGCATCCTCCATTTTCCACTGACAAAGCTATCCAGCAGCCCTTCAGATGCTCGGCGCGGAACGCGGCAACTCTGCCCGTGCGGATCGGCAGGGCAGCTGCGCCACTTGGACCAGAGCTCGCCAGCAGCACCAGTTTTTCGGAATTGAACAGCTTGCGAATGACGCAAATACAACCAGCATCCGCCATCCTGGTCCACCATGCGAGGCTGCCGCCCGCCGCTCGCAATGCAGCACGCCAAGAGACTCGGTGGAAGAATCGGGCCACGGGCAAGCGGAGCGCGTTGGTCCTTGCGCCATGGATATGGCCCGCGCGAGCCGGGAGCTCTGGGTCGCCGTCGCGCACGAGCGCCCCTGCTTCAAGCGACGCGCAGAAGGCCTGCTCGGAGGCCCTTTCCTCGATCTCCTGTCTCGACAGCCCAGACATCCGATTCAAGCGGAGGCCCTGGCACGGCACATCGGCATCGAGTTCCAGATGGACGCAAGCTAAGGCGCTGGTCTCGGCGGAGCGGGGTGGCCCTGCAGACAGGCCGACCACCTGGGCGGTCGCAGATGGCCTTGCTGCGCGATCGAGATGGCTGAGATGCCACCGTTGGGCACATGCTGCTGCGCCGTAGGCCCCTTTTAAATTGCTGGCCACGCCGCGCGGAGGGCTGAGCCGAAGCCCTGCCATCAATCGAGCGCGCCGTGGGAGCCGCGGCGCAGCCGCCAGCGACCGACGCTCTCGGCGTCGGATCTCCGACCTGCTTGCGCTCGGCGCCCTGCCCCCGTCAGCCGTCGCTACGCGCGGAGGCCCAGGTTGGTCGCCTGGCCCACCGGCGCGGCAACGCAAGCGGCATCGAGGCCGCTTGGATCTGCAACGCCACGGACGGGCGGTCGGATTTTGGTCAGCTGGCCAACTTGTCGACGCGACCTCAGAAGGCCCTCTTCGAAGCGAAATCGCGCCCGCGCCGCGGCGACATTGCGGCGCATTGTTTTCGCCGGGCCGACCGCGAGCAGCCTGGCCGGCATCTCGGACGGCAAGGCTGGCATCAACAACTCGCTGGCGCCGAAGGCTTTGAGATCGAGCACGTCGGCCTGCTGCCATCAAAAGCGCCGCGCAAAACGCGTCGGCTAGCTGGCCTAGATCGCCCCCATGGCCAGCGCGCAATTCCAATGCGCTCAACGCGACGAGCTAGGGCCGCATGCCACGCACAGGTTGCGCTGGCTTCGAGCTCGCTCGCACTGGAAAGCACCAGCTCGCGCCCGCCGGCGCGGGCGGCGGGCGCCCTCGCCCAGCGGGGCCCCCAGCGACCCTGCGACGCTCATGGGGGCCAAGCCGAATGCGATTCAAGCTACTCCGAGCTACCGTCGCCCAGTTCGAACAATGTCTTCGAAAAAACTCGCGCCAGCTTGCGCGCGCGCCGATGCACCTCGAACTGGCCTGAATTAGCATCGAGCTCTCGAACAAGGCAGAATTTGCTCGCCCCGTCGCGCGTACTTTGGGCGTTCTTGCCCCGCCGAGCCCCCGCGGGCTCTTGGTCGAAAACATGAATCGGAATAGCTCGAACTAGGCAGCATTAGCTCGCGCTTCCTCTCGTCTCGCGGGCCCCTGGCGTTTTTACTCTTCGGTGCCCCTGCGGGTCCCGCGATCGCATGCAATTGGAACGCGCGGCGACAATATAATCCGAGCAACGTCGAACCTGACACAAACGAATTCGGACAACTATGAACAACCCGGTGTGCTGCATCTGCCTCCTCCAGATCCTCAGCGCCAGTGGCCTCGCCGGCTTTGTGGCCGCGGCAACCGCGGCGATGAGCGGCGATCTGGCCTTCAGCATGTTGCTGCTTGGATCACCTGGGTCGAAGTTGAAGAGGGATCTTGCGGACGGCGACGGTCCTGTTGCGTGTCCGCAGGCCGCTGAGGATGTCTCCGTCGATGGCCTCAAGCACTGCCTGGAAAAAGGGAGCCGCAGTGCAGAATTCAACGGCAGTCTTGCCGCACTGCTCTGTGAATCGCTCTACATGTAGCCTGCTGCCGCCCAACAGATCCATCAGGACGGCCTCGCGCAAGATGCCCTCTAAAATTGATGCGATCTTTTTCCGGTCGCGCTGCGTGAGAAATTGGCCGAGCCGCCGCTGCTCGCTTCGATATTACTCCGCTTATTGATGGTCCGATACGCCGGCGACTCGGCCAGCGCGATTCGGTTGCGCCACCAATAGATGCGTGACCACCCGAAGAGGCTATTCGATGCGAAATCGCGGATAATCCGATAGGTCCTGGCTTCCTTCAAACCTCGCAGCTCGGAAGCGCCGCTTCGCCGCACGCCGAGGCGCAGGTCTGACGCGACGTCTGCGCGCAGCGCCCGCACCCAGGCCGCAGCGGCCGAGTCCTCGACGGCATCGCCATCGCTGCTCTGCTCTGGCGCCGCGGCGTCGCCGCGGGCCAAGACACGAGGCTCGGGAACTCCGCGGCTCGAGGCCACCGATCGCGGCCAGAGCGAGCCTGCCGATGGAGAGCTCCGCCCAGCTGCCCAGGAAAGTGCGCGCCAGGGTCGGAGGGCAGCGCCGCTCTCCGTGGCCCCAGCCGCGCCGACCTCCCGACCTCGAAGGCCACAGCACCGTTTCAGCATAGGACGGCCCTTGCCGTCGCTCGGACGTCCATTTCCTGTGCATTTGTCGGTTTCGTGCGTGTTTTTTCTTCGCCAAATGATCAAGGATGGTCCTCGATGGCCGTCGCCGAGAAAAAATGCACACGTCCGAGCGATGCCAAGGGCCTGCAAAGCTTGTGTGTGTGTGTGTGTCCAACCCCATTTATCCGAGGAACGCCCACCTCAACCGCACACCTGGTCAGCATGCCAGCAGTCTCAGTCCACGATCGGGTTCTGCAGCGCAGCACGTCGCCGCCGGAGTCGCTGCAGGTCGCGGGAGGTGCTGGAGCTGCCGTCGCCGTGGCCTCGGTCCTCTGCCTCTGGGCAACTGGACCCTCTGATTTCTTGTCGGGCTCGAGCCAGCGCGCGTGGGGGGAAACGGGCACAGACAAAGCAATAGCACGAACCCCGCGAATAGACTGGTCAGCCAAGACGGCGGGGCTAGACCACGGCGCCGCGCTGGACTGAGCCGGACTGTCTGGCTGGACCGACGGGACGGGGCTGAGATGCGCTGGCATGGGTCTGGCTGGGTTCAAGCACGCGGCAGCGCAAACAACCGAGTCGAAGCAAATCCCACCAGCCCTCTGGGCGTCGGTGGTTTAGAGCGTTTCCTCTTCCACCCCTCCTTCTTCCCCTTCGGGGAGGGGTTTACCCCTCCCCCTACCCCCTCCCCACTGACCTGGACAGGGGGGGGCGCGGGTAGTTAGAGCGTCCAAGAACGACCCATGGGAGGGCTAAAATTCGACACCCCTCACGAGGATCGTGCCCCCCAGGGGGGCGACGCTAAAAAATGCTTCCCCCTTCTGCGATCGATGTCCTCCAAGAGGGCCTCAAGAGACGTTTCGGACTCTCCTCTTGCGCCCTGCGCGCGGGCGGGCGGAGCGCCGCCCGCCCGCCCGCGAGGCCCAAGAGCCCACCAAAACGTTCGAAGATACCTCCAAGACGCCACCAGGGAAGAGGAAGAGGCGGAGGAGGAGGAGGAGGAGGAGGAGGAGGAGGAGGAGGAGGAGGAAGGGAGGAGGAGGAGAAGGCGGAGGAGAAGGAGGAAGAGGGGGAGGAGAACAGGTGCCGATCATCGGCGCTCTTCGTCCGAGTGCCTGGTGTAGGATGGGCTGGTGGGGACACGCGAAGCGTCAAGAATTCAATCGAATCAGCCTTAATGATCACCAAATCGCCACACGTATGGTCAAACAAAAATTCTCAGCCCGATGACGCTCTACAAAACAGCCCGGAAGGGCACCAAAAGAGCCTCAGGAGGGACCCGCAAAGGGGAACGCGAACTGACACGTCGAGCCCTCCGCAACAAGAGGACCCCCGAGACCCCCAAGAGGCTCCAAGAGGCTCCCAAGAGGCCCAAAACATATCCCCAAATTGGCCAAGAAAACGTTCCTGAGAGGCAAACAGCCTCACCCGTGGACGTCGTTCATCCCCTGCGGTCGGCAGAATGGAATAAGCCACTTGAATGAATTGTGAGGCGGGAGCCGTTGTCATCGTAGTTGGAGCTTCAACAACGGGAACTGGGAAACAAGCCCCCGCTCGAGCGGGGAACGTCGCTCTCAGGAGAAATACACCCAGGGTCAAAGCAAGAGCGCCTGGAACCGCTCCTGATGATCAATCATAGCCTCTGGAAACGAGTCTTCAACGAGACCCTGCACCACCGCACCCCACTTCAGCCACGCACCCAGGGACGGTGTAGCACCACACGGCCCCCTCACGTGGATCATCTTCGCCACTCTGGGCACGATTTCGTTCCCTGATTCCATGGCTACGCCGCCCACCCCAGACGCGAGCACGGGCTGATACGAGCGACTATCTTAAGCTGTGCTGGCGATCTCGCCGCATCCACGGCTGTCCTGACCATCTCACCCTCCGCACCAAGGCCCAGCCCGATGTTCTCTGGCCCGTCGCCATGCGCCGCCAACACCTCGAACGCTTCTCTCGCCCCGCCAGCCCCTGCGGGTACGCTGCGGGCACGCACGCAGCAGCTGCCTGCGCTTGCGCTTCGCGCGCTCGCCCACCCCATCCTTCCTCCGCCCACCCACCCGTCCTGCTCCCATCTGCCCCCCTTCACCCATCTCCTCCGATCTCCCCCATCATGCCCCCCTCCCGTCCCCACCTTTGCGACGACGACGACGTCGGCGCCGAGGACAGCACGGGGCCCGAGGAGACGCCGGCGCCGATGCCGACCGGCGGCGGCGGCAACGACGCACCCCCCCTGGGGAAACCACAAAGTTACCGATACCGCTACTCCCCGGACCTCTCCCCGGGGTGCGTTCTGACCAGCATTTCGAGGCGAATCCAGCGGTGGCGACGAGGGCCTCCCAGGAGGCCCGAAAAAAGAAAAACGGTCGAAGAGTATTCCACATCCCGTATTAATCGTCCCCAGGGTCTGGTTTTTTAAGGCGCCATTTTTGCAACTGGGCGGGGTCCGGTTTATAAGGGCACTTTCTTTGGATTGGAGCTTAGGGGGTTCCGGTTTTTTAAGGCGCCCCGTCGAAGAGGAGGGTCTGGAATGTTAGGTCGCATTGGCAGAGGGGTCTGGTTTTTTTTGGGGGGTCGATCAAGAAGGGAGTCGGAGTAGCGGTATGGGTACCTTGTCCCCCCTGTGAACGACGCACCCCTCGCACTGCGGCCACGCGCCACGCCGGCGGCGGCGAGCGCGGGTCGCCACGGGCGGCGAGGAAAGGCTTAAGTCGTGCCTGTCCCCATACAGGGAGATTTTCGACGAAAGAATCGCCTGGGGACTATGTTTTGGGGTTCTATGTTTTTGAACTTTTTGGTGTATTTTTGGGGCAGTTTCATGTTTTCATCGAAAATCCACCTGTAGGGGGACACGCCCGACATCCTCCTCCTCCTCCTCCTCCTCCTCCTCCTCCTCCTCCTCCTCCTCCTCCTCCTGCTCCTCCCCCTCCCCCTGCTCCCCCTGCTCCTCCTCCCCCTGCCCTCCTCCTCCTCCTCCTCCTCCTCCTCCTCCTCCTCCTCCTGCTCCTCCTCCTCCTCCTCCTCCTCCTCCTCCTCCTCCGCCCTGGGAAGGAGCTCGGCGCACGGCGCGCGCGGGCGCGAAGAGAGAGAGAGAGAAGAGGGCCGGCGCGCGCCTTCAGCGCCTCGGGGTCCGTGGCGGCCCGGCCCCGGGGCGCCGGCGCGGGGGACGCGGACGCCTGGGGGCGGCGCCGGCGCCCGCGCTGCCGCACCCCGGAGATTAGGTCGAGCTCCAAGAGGGCCCCAAGAGGCATCCTACTCCTTCTCCTCCGCCTTCTCCTCCCTCTCCTTCTGCTTTTCCCTTCCTCTTCACCATGTGCCCCTCAAAAGGGCCCCACAACAGCCAGGGTGACACATCGCCCAATAGCTGGAGCCGACTTCGGCCCAACGTTTGGCCGCATGGGCGCTTCCAAAAGGCAAGGCGCGGCGGCGATTGTGAGCAGGGAACGACCGTCCCGACATTCCTATAGTCCTACCACGAAGTGTTCTCAGAACCCAAACATGTTCTAAGAGCAAAAACCATGCTCTTAGAACATGAGCCTCATGCGTTCAAACGGGACAGTCCCAGCAAGAGATGTTCCAAGAACCCTTCGTGGAAACCACAACAGGTTCTCAGAACATTGTGTGGTATGGCTATAGGCACGCCGGGACGCTTCGCCACTGCTTGATCCTAGGTCCTGCAGGCGGAACTTGGACGAACAATCTACAGAAATATGCCGAACATCTCCAGAAATCAGTGGAAAGATCATCCCCTGGCTATTCTTGAAGTAACTTTCGAAGGTTCCTCCTGCAGAGGGACAGGCCCGACTTGACCCTGAGATCGTGGCGTTGCAGTCGTTTCACGGCCGGCGCTCTCGTCCCACTGCGGGCCCCGGGGCCCTCCCAGTTCTTAGGAGGCAACTACTGGGAGGTCTTCGTCGGGAGGATTAAGGAGGATTAAGCCCGAATGGGGCGCTGTTACGCCAGATTGGGCCTCGCATTAAGCAGGATTGGGCCGGAGCAGGCGGGATTGAACCAGATTAAGCGGAAGTTGCATCCGAGCAGTTCGGTCCGGTTCGAAAAAGACGGCGCGGAAGGATGGGGTCTGGGGCTCGGGCCCCAGGACCCTCACAGATCGGTCCGGCTCGAAAAAAAATGACGCAGAAGGATGCGGTCGGGGGCTCCGGGCGTGATTTTTCTTTGATTCGGGCAAGTTTACTTGCATGGACGGGGAGGGGGGCCTGAGCCTGAAGCAAGCCAAAGACAACTTGACGTGCGGAAATCACGCAAGTCGAAAGGCACTTGCACGCTCGTATTCGATGGAAGAGGGGCGAGGGGGATGGGGGCGAACGCCATGCAAGTAAACTTGCCTGGATCTATGCGACGCACAGAGACATACTAATACTGTATGTCCTCCTTGGAGACGCGCGTCCGACCCGAACATATAGGATACCCATCTTGTAGTAGATCGTTTCCCGAGCGTTGTTACAAGAAAGCGCCCGCCACGAGGTATACACTATAAGATATTATCCGTGCGCGAATCGCCCCTGGGGAGGGGGCGACGCACACACAGTGTTACTATGTTGGGGCCACGCCGAATCTAAAGAAAAACAGACTCTGGTAGCTTTCCTGCAACATGAACATCGAAAACTCGGAGGTCCGCGCGGATTTCTCGGATCGGCGCTAGCCGAGACATCCGCGCGGACCTCCGAGAATATTCACGTATGTGCCATTTTTCGTTCCTCTACTGGAGGCCAGTCGAACTCCAACCAAAGCCTGGCCTTATGTTGCTCCCATCGTACTGAAGACCTCATCCCAGAAACGATTGTGAGCGAAGAGTGTCGAAAGAGTACAGCGTCGGACGAGCGCCTCCCGGGGCCCGACGCGTGAAGACCCTGGAGTTTCGGCACTCTCCTGGCGCTCGAGAGTCTTTCTGGTGATCCGGGCTAGAGCAGGTCGGAACATCAGACCCCTGTCGGGGAGACGTAAGACTCGGGTACGGGGGACTCGGGTTGGCCCGACGGGGCCATCATAAAAATGACGAAGCCCATCCTGAAATTTGACGCGAGCTCCCGCTGCAGACATCCCACGAAAACTGGACCGTCAAAATCCAGGACGCGCTCGTCAAAAGAACGTCGGCAAACCCGAGTTCTGGCTTACCCGAGTCCTACGTTCCCCCGACCCTGGCTGCGGACAGCAGCGGCGGATCTCAGGGAGGCGGCCCCGCGCGCCGGCGCCGCTGGCCGACCGCGGCGGCGGCGGCGAGGCGGCGCGGGTCGGCCGCTCTGCTCCGCTGCGCTCCTCTGCCTCGCCCTCCTCGCCCTCGTCGGGGGAGGGAGGGGCGAGCTGGCCATCGCTCGGACGTCCATTCCCTGTGTTTTTTGGGGGTTCGTGCGTGGGTTTTTCGTCATCTGATTTAGGATGCTCCTCGATGGTCCTCGCCGAAGGAAAAATGCACACGTCCGAGCGATGCCAAGCGAGCGCGCTCGTGGGAGCGCCCCGCTGCCAGCTGAGCGACGAAAGTCCTGAAGAGAATCCTGGAGTAGGGGAACAAAAAGCGGCATAAACATCAAAACTCGGAGGTCCGCGCGGATGTCTCGGATCTGCGCTGGACTCCGCTCCCTGGCGCGCGGAGCGCGCCAGGGGCGGCGCCGGAGGCGCCGCCGGGGGGCCCCAGCGCCGATCCGAGAAATCCGCGCGGACCTCCGAAATTGTATGTTTATGTCACGTTTTGTTCCCCTATGGAGGCCCCGCGCGGCAACTTCAGACCCGAGCTGCGTGGGATCCACGTCGGATGCACGTCGGATTCGCGCCGGGTCCGCGTCGGATGTGCGTCGGATGTACATCGGACGGACGCCGGAGCATCGCCGCGCAAACGTCGACCCAAAGCTGTACGGAGCTGACGCGTGGACTAGATGATACCACTTTACGCGCCGCGCGAGGCCTCGTAATCTGCTCCGACCCCATCCGGGAAGCCTAGGCCACTGCCAATCTCTGACCATGCCTCCTGCTCCTCGTCCTGCTCCTGCTCCTCCTCCTCCTCCTCCTCCTCCTCCTCCTCCTCCTCCTACTCCTGCTCCTCCTCCTCCTACTCCTCTCCTCCTCCTCCTCCTCCTCCTCCTCCTCCTCCTCCTGCTCCTGCCTCCTCCTCCCTCCTCCTCCTCCTCCTCCGCCTCCTCCTCCTCCTCCTCCTCCTCCTCCTCGAATCAAGCATCGTTTCTGGATGGGCCGGGGGGGGGGGCACGCGGAACGCCCAGAACTCAAGCGCGCGTGCGGCATCGTTCGCCCCCCGGCAGGCGAGACGGGCAGACAGACAAGACAGACAGAAAACGACAGACAGACAGGCGCAGGAAAACGCACAGGCTGGCAGGCAGGCAGGCAGGCACGCACACAGACAGCCAGGCCGGAGGAGGAGGAGGAGGAGGAGGAGGAGGAGAGGAGGAGGAGGGGAGGGAGGGAGAGGAGGAGGAGGGAGGAGGAGGGACGAGGAGAAGCAGGAGAAGCAGAAGGAGAGAGGACGGGAGGACGAGGAGGAGAGGAGGAGGAGGAGGAGGAGGAGGAGGAGGAGGAGGAGGGGAGAGGAGGGGCGAAGAGGAGCAGGAGGCGGAGGCGGCGAGCGCGCGCGCGAGCGCGCGCGGGCCGCGCACGGCGCCCGCGAGGGCGTGGGCACGCCGCCCATGGAGGGCGCGGCCATGGAGCAGGCCTCCGCGCCGCGGGCAGGCGCCGAGGGCCCCGCCGCCCGCCTCGCCGCCGCCCCCGGGCCGCCGCCGCCGCCTCGGCCTCGGCGCCGCCCTCGGACCGCCCCGCCGCCGAGCGTCGGCCGTCCGTCGTCTCGGGCGTCCGACGTCGCCGAGGGCCGTCGCCGCCGTCGCCTTCTCGCCGTCGCCGTCCTCGTCGCCGCCGTCGCCGTCGATCGGCGTCGGCGGTCGTCGGCGCCGTCGCGGTCGTCCTCGTCGTCGCTCGTCCTCGTCGTCGCCGCCGCGGACTCTGTCGTCGTCGGTCGTCGTCGCCGGTGCTGTCATCATCGCCGTCGTTGTCGTCGCCACCGCCGCAGCCGTCATCGATCGTCAACGCTGTCATCTTCGGTGGGTTCCAAATGTCTTCGGATGCCGGTGGTGGCGGCTTGCGGCGATTTCGGCGGCAGCCGGCGGCTCTTCGGCGCCCTTCCCAGCGGTTTCAGAAGCTTTCCCAGGGTGTTCGAAGGTTCAGGGCAAGGAGGAGGAGGAGGGGAGGAGGAGGGCGAGGGTGTCCCAGGGGAGGAGGAGGAGGAGGAGGGGAGGAGATGGGGCGAGGCCGAGGGCGAGGAGGGTGCCGAAGGCGCCCTGCGCACCGTCTCTTCGCCTGCACGCGCAGGCTGCGCAGGACAGGCACGCAGAGTGCCACGCCAGGCTGGCCCCTCCTGCTGCCGTCTTCGTCCCTCCGCGCCCCCCCCTTTTGTTCCTCTCTATCTCTTGTGCGGCCGCCAGAAGCGTCGGTCCCCGCGAAATGCTTCCCCCGCGGGGGGGGGCTTCCCCGTCAATGGGGCGCACAGAGACATGCTAGTACTAGCTGTCCTCCTTGGAGGCGCGCGTCCGACCCGAACAGATGGTATACCCATCTTGTACTATATCGCTTCACGAGCGGTGTGGCCAGAAAGCGTCCGCCACGACGCATATACTATAAGGTTTCTCGTTGTCCGCGTCGCCCCTGGGGGGGCGACGCACATATAGTATAAGCATGTTGGGGTGGTGCCGATGTCTAGAGCGCACGGTTCGAGACCCTCGGTATGTCAAGGGACCCCTCCTCCTCCCTCTCGCTTCGGATGGTTGCCCACTATCAACCCCAGAGACTGGACGCTGCCGAATCGCATGGGCGACCCATTCGCGGGGAACCTCATCGGTGTTACGATCACGGACAACCAGGCTCACGAGGAGTGGGACTGGGAATGGTTCCAGACGTCGGGTCTGCCAACCATCGAGCTGGATCAGGCCATGCTGAAGGAGGCTGGCGAGGCGCAGGAAGTCGCCAACCAGAAGTGAAGGGTTACCGCCCATCATCCCGCCTCCCCATCTTTTTACCTGCCTCCCTCCTCGCAGCATTACCCAGCCATGCTGAGTCTCTGGCTGGCAGAACTCCCATGTTCGCATAGTGGTCGAACGAAGGTTGCCAGAGTCAGCCTCTCTCCTTGAGTAGGGCACTGTGTTCGGGGCCAGGCTCATAAGAGTAGGCAAAGCTCCAATCACACGTTACCAGATTCCTCCTATCCCTCAAGTATGCTGTCCCCGTCCCAACTTGCCTCACCTTGGAATGACCGCCCGTTTCTGCTCCGCCTAGTCAACACTTCGCTTCCTGCTTCTGACAACAGGCCTAGAGTCGAGGCGGCACTTGCCAAGTAGCAAGCGTAGCTCAGCCTGCGATTGCCAGGTTCATCGCCCGGAACTGTTCGGCACCCGTATCTGCATCGAGGTCGTCAGCCCAGAGTATGCGCACGGGCGTCCGACTTCCAAGAGAACTAGCACTGTGTCGCAACCTCAGCAGTTGCACACGGATCAGTGAGCCGCCCCTTATTTCCTCACTTGCGCCAGGCTCGTTTCCTGCAGGGTGTTGAAACTTGCGTGCCGCGTACACATTTCCCCCAAGCCTGTGGCGCTTGAATGTGTAAACCAGCGGGGCGAGGGTCCAATGATAGGAAGTCACAACATAGCTTCAAGGCAAGCACCCATTCTCAGTTTCAGGGGCGCCAGCGGCTCGTCAACGACAGCAATTCATTTCAACATCTCTCCCCTTTGATGTTTGACCCCCCCCCCCAGCTCATCGCCACACTTTCATAGGATGCAGCTGTTGTGCGTGTGCGCATTGTCTTCCTTTCAGGCAGCGCTTCGCCAGGTCCGTCCTCGCACGTGGACCTGACACTGAATGGAACAGGATGTGGGAGGCAGTGTACCTACAGGAGGTGCCCGCATCAATGGATGGTCCTTCCCTTCTTTCAGTCCTCCCCACGCTCACCCCACTTCGAACAGGCGTGGCGGCTCCTCACCCCGTAGGGGCCAAGCCAAAGACGGCTACCAGAGGCCTAACAACACCATGTCGGTTCTCCAGCCCAATTCCGTGCCGACCCAGCCGTGCAAGGCAAGGATCCCAACCTGTTGCTGCCACAGTCTCGGGGGCGCGCACAGGTGGATTAGCGATCCATGGATCTGGCGCGCGGTCGCCAAATCCATGGATCGGGGGAGGTGCCCTCCCCAAAATGCGGCCGGTGCCGCCCCGCTCGGCGGCGGAGGTCCGCGACTTCCCATGGAAGCGGGACCCCGTCGCGAATCCACGCCCCCCTGATTCATGTATGCGATCGCCCGATATGTTTGCCAGAATCTCTCCTCCTCCTCCTCCTCCTCCTCCTCCTCCTCCTCGTCCTCCTCCTCCTCCTCCTCCTCCTCCTCCTCCTCCTCCTCCTCCTCCTGCTCCTCCCCCTCCTCCACCTCCTCCTCCTCCTCATCCTCCTTCTCCTCTTCCTCCTCCTCCTGCATTACCAGTACCTCCAGGCGTGGCGGGTGGCGTCGTCGGGAGAGGAAGACGCTCGCACGATCTGGCAGCGGGGCGCTGGGCCCGCCTGTGTGCACCTGGCGCCTTGACACGCGGAGCTGTGGCATACGACGATACAAATAAAAAACAGAACTCCCCCCACCGTCTCCCTCCCACTCCTCCTCCTCCCCCTCCTCCCCCCCTCCTCCTCCGCCTTTCCGCTCCTCCTCCCTCGTTTCCTCCCTCCTCCTCCTCTCAGTCGCCTCTCCTCCTCATCCTCCTCCTTCTCCTCCTCCTCCCTCCTCCTCCTTCTCCTCATCCGACTCCTCCTCCCCCCCCCTTCTCCTCCCCCGCCTCCTCCCCCTTCCCGCTCCTCCTCCTCCTCCTCCCTCCTCCGCCTCTCTCCTCTACCTCCTCCTCCTCATCCTCGTCCTCCTTCTCCTCAAGCAGTAGGCAACGATTTGGCTGACAGGTACGCCAAGAAAGGCGCACTGTCACTTCCACAGCCGTCAGAGGCTGAGAAGGAAAGCTGGAAGGAAGAGTCGGAGACCCTGAGGCGTTATTTGCCTTATGCTGTGCAGGCGCCGTTGCTATTTCCTGAAATAGCCCCTTCTAAAGCCATGCGGTCGGTTTTCGACAAATCGCTCCGCGAGGAAGGCTTCATCACAGGGGTAGGTGCGGCGCGGCAAGCGCTGCCAGACCCAGCCCCACCTCCGCCCCCACCTCCCCCTCCTGGCCTTCCTCCTCGGCCAGGTCGCCGCCCGCCAGGCCCGATCAGAGAGCACGATTGGGCTTGGAAGCACAGCAGATGGGTCTGCCGCATATGCTTGACATTTTCCAGAGGAGTCAACAAGCCGGCACCGACAGTGAGCCCGAGCAGAGGCCACAACGAAGCTTTCACCCAGCTGGTGCAAAATCCTCGGAAACACATTCTGCATGTTTCCAATTATGCACTTGGGGTGGTATTCATTTGCAGCCGGTGCGGTGCTTACTCGGTGTCAGGAAACCTCCGTAACTTGAAATCAAATTGTAAGTTGAGGTTTCCTTCACACGGCGCCAGGGACTCTTGGCAGAGATTTTCCCGGCGGACACACCCCAACTCAAAGAGGGGTCCTGCCCAGCGCTTCGAAGAATATTTGCCGGTATCGGCATTGCTTCAGCCGTAACTCATTTCCCCCCTCTCGCCCTCCGATTGGACTGTTGCTACACAGCTCGCCGCTAGTAACATGCTCTCTCATTGTTGTCGTCAATCGCTGCTGTCCCCATCGCACGCCGAGGCGATGACGCGGGGCACAGGGGAACGGACAACTGGGGAACCGCCCAGGGAAACGGACAACTGGGGAACCGACTTGTCCCCAATGACTCGCCTAGTTCATCGTCCCCGAAACCCGAAGGGGTTTTGAAGGTCGGAGATGCCCCTCGCCGTGAGCCTTCCGGGGGTCGCACCCGATACGAAACTCTCGAAGTTCGTGTCCCCCCAGTCTTGGGCAGAGGGCCTGCGGGAGGCGCGCCGGCCTCAGCAGGTATGGCCCCAGGACGCGTTCTGGGCCAGCTTGTTCTCTCCGCCGCATCGTCCATGCCAGCAGGAGGTGAGGAAAACATCGTCTCTCAGATGGTTATGCGACCGCGGGTCGAATCGTATTCTTCGGCGCGCGATCCCCTTGCCTGCCGTCGCGTCGCGATGTGTAACCGTTGGGGCACGCAGCTCAGAGGTGGCGTGAGGATACGTTGGCCACATATTATCTCAGCCACCTACTCCCTTGTTGCACCCTGCCGCACGCGCACGCACTGGCATACAGCGCTGTTTGCTCTATGTCTCATTTCCTTGGCGACTTCACTCCGCCGCATCGTCCATGCCGGCAGGAGGTGAGGTAAACATCGCCTCTCAGCTTGCCGTCGCGTCGCGTCGTGAAACCGTTGGGGTACGCAGCACAATGGTCGCATGGGTTGACGTTGTCCACTTATTATATCAGCCACCTACTCCCTTGTTGCACCCTGCCGCACGCGCACGCACTGGCATTCAGCGCTGTATACTCTGAGCCTCATTACCTTGGCGGCCTCGTTCCGCCGCATCGTCCATGCAGTCAGGAGGTGTGGAATCCATCGCCCCTCATTCACACTCACCTCCAGCGTGTGCAGATACGCTCCAATTGCTCTGCCGCACAAGCCGAGTAAGGACGAGCCACGGTCTTCACAACGGAGGTT